AGTAGTAGCAGTAGTAGAAGTAGTAGTAGCAGTAGTAGCAGTAGTAGCAGTAGCAGTAGCAGTAGCAGTAGCAGTAGCAGTAGTAGTAGTAGTAGTAGTAGTGGTAGTAGTAGTAGTGGTGGTAGTAGTACTCATAATCATAGCAATAAGATAATACAGCGCCATGACTGTTCGAGAAACAGTTGAATAGGAAATTGAGCCCCTGCATTTGGACGAACATGTGCTTCAATCTGCCACAACCACCACGCAAGAGGAGATTAAGAGATGCCGGGTCCCCTGCATCCGAAAGCCAATGTCATATCGAGCTTCGACTATGCTGCCCCCAAGGCCAGAAACGCAGGACCCTCAAAACACCTTACGGTACCTTCGGATTTCTGGGCTTTGGGAAGGTTGAGCAGCAAATCGGCGAGAGTTTCGGATTCGCCCGAAGGCAGGCAGCCGAGGCGAATATGAAAATGGGAAGTCCAGCCCTGGGTTTCTTATTGTCCGGGTTTTTGGCAGGACCGCCCGGAAGGACAATCAGAACTTCAGCCCCTGGACTTCTGCTTTGCCTTTCGTGTGGCTCCGGCCGTTTGCCGGGCCGGGCAGCCCACGAGGAGAATGAGAAATTCAGCCAAAGGACACGACAAGAAATTCAAAGTACCCTGAACCTGGCGGGTGTTACTAATGACCCTGAACCAGGTGCTGTCTGAATAAGACATCCAGAGTACCCTGCCTCCGCTAAAGGAGTTTCTTATCCAATGCTGTCACGGTAGTAGTAGTAGTAGTAGTAGTAGTAGTAGTCGTCGTCGTCGTCGTAGTAGTAGTAGTAGTAGCAGCTTTAGCAGTAGCAGCAGCAACAACAGCAGCTCTTCTTCACACTCACTAGGTTTTCCCGCAGGGAGCTGGCTACGATCCGAAGTTTCGTCTGCGCACAAGAGGAGTAGAACAATCGGCTTCTCAACCCCAGGAATATCCAGGGTTGCATGGAAACACGACATGTTATAATGGCTATATAGCAGCTAAGCGGCTAGTGGGAATGAGGATTCCTTCCTGCTCCATAGCTATAAGCCCATACTCTTCCCAGACATCTCCCTGCCTGTCGAGGATTGCCGCTGTAGAGAACGGACTTTTTCCCCTGAGCCTCGGCGCTGGGGGATGGATTTGGCTCTTCGAGGCGGGATTCGGGAAGGTAACTCAACCCCAAACCTCGCAAAGCTGCCGCTGAGCACTGTGAAGAGACCTGCAGGTCTTGCAGGAACTTCGGTTTGAAGTTGCATATTCCCAGGAACAAAGAAGCAAGATGCAACGTGCGCGGGCATTGGGCAATCTAGGACAAGCTGACTGCACTCTATGAAACCCATCGAATCCAGCTGAACCGCCACCCTGAACCCTGCTTATATCACCCAAAGCCCAAGCCTTCAGCCCTAAATGCCAAACCTTCACCAAGACCAACACCCTTAAACCTCAGATCCCCAGATCCTAACCGTAAACCCCAAGCCCTAAACCCGTACAGCTACGAGCCATTACTTCTAGACGCTGTGGTTTTAGGCCGTACACAATCGGACTTCTTCCAAGTCTCCCACCGCTCAACTGGGGTTTAGTGTCTATGGTTTGGGGATTAGGGTTCAGTATTTGAGGGCTTTGAACAATCATCCCCAAACCCAGACTGAAACGGCCCAGCAAGCAGCAATGGCATTGGCGATAAGCTGTGCGATGAAATTGCTGGAGACCTAGCCAGAGATCCCCTTTAACGAGAACAAACGGTGCTCTGCACCCTAGCCCAGGAATCTAGCAACTCTGGCTAACTGTTCGGGGCCAGTAGCTTATTTAGATTGGGGTTTAGGGGAGGTAGACCTGTTGCCATGCAAAGATCCAGGTTGAATGGTCCGGGATACTCACGTACGGTCAAACGGGGCCAGCGATGGTATAGATGAGATTACCACCTTGTTTAGGAATTGGCTCACAACCTGGATCCTGAACTACACTAGCTTCACTAGATCACCATCAGACTGGGCACCTCAGAGTAAGAGGGCTTCATGAAAACAAAGCAGCCCCCAAAGTCTGCTTCCACGTAGGATTAAGATTTGGCTTTGGAGGTCTTGGGATTATTCTCTGCAGGTTTGGCTTCAGGATCCGGGCTTGGGCGTAGATTGAACGGCCTGAGGCCAAAATCTTCACAGCATGCAGAACATCTGCAAGATCTATACAAGTCACGCATGTTGAACACCTCATAGCAGCTGTTGTGACCGGTGATTGAAATCGATCTACATAGTCCCTAAATCTGAAGCAGAAACTTTGATTGAAATCCCACCCTGGCTTGACCTACGCTGCTAGATCGAAAATACTGTACATGACCCAAAACCTAAATAACCCCTGCGGCCTAGGCCTGTGTTCCTTGAGTTCCCAACGTCGCTGGGCTCGGCCCCACTCCAGGGCGTGCCAAGGCTGTTGACGCGACCAATCTCCCCAGTACCGTAGTGCTCCTAGTTCGTACTACAGGATTTTGGTGATTCAGGGCTAGATTGGTGTGGGCAAACCTGTACACTGTTGACTATGCGTGTTAGTTCTAGGCTTACCAGCCAGACGAAGTCTAGCGATGTCAGCATGGATGTGGATCAGAAACATCTCTAGCCCTCGGAGAGATAGATAAATTAGCTTCTTCGCATGTTGTCTGCGGCCTGTGGCTGCGGGGCAGGATTTTCTTGAGGAGTCATTGGCCTTGAGGTTGTGGTTTCGAACTGACTGGGGCCTGTCGATCAAGGAACAACTCTCGTTCGCAGGATTTGTCAAGACTTGATCAGGCTAGGGTATGGTGCCTCAAACGCTGGTTTGGACTGGGCTCGCGTTGAACACCCCAAAAACCCTGAATCCTCAGCCGTAAGGATCGTTAACAATCTCTGCCCGAGGCTCTTCCATGCTGGAATCAAAGGTCTGGGACAGGTCAATGACCTGGGACTTGCATGGGACCAAGAACTCACAATGCCAAACCTGAGGTGCTTTGGATTTCCAGGTTGGGAACTGAAGGACAGGACCTTGACATTTAAACCCAAAGGCTGCAGACTCATTTCCCCGCCTTCGCCCACACCCGCCCCGAGGCCATTTACCCTGAATCCAGATAGACAAAAACAAACCCGCTCCGACGGAACAGCTCTACAGTGCTGCTATCGTCGGTATTGTCGTTCCTCCTCCTGCTGCTGCTCCTTCTCGTCCGCCCCACAACTAAATCTGCTACAGCTACTGCGGCTGCTACCTCTACTGATGCTGCTACAGCCAGTGCTAGTACTGCTAACAGTACTGCTCCTACAAGTAGTACTGTTTCGAGTACTGCCACTGCCGCCGACGCCGCCGCCGCCGCGGCTGCTGCTGCTGCTGCTGCTACTGTCAGCGTTCCTGCCATTGCGCGCACTGCCGCTAGTACTGCTACTGCCACTGCTACTGGTACTGCTGCTGCCTGCTGCTAATGTTGGTACTGCTAGTACTGCTACCAGTACCGCTACTGTTACCGCTCCTGTTCCTGCTCCTGCGAAGTACTACTGCTTTACTACAGTAATTCCTGCTTGACTTATGCCACTGTACTACTCCCCACTCCCACTCTCGCCCCAACCCCCTATTCCCAGGTCATCAGGCCTTGGGATTTAGTTTGAGGGGGCCTTGTGCACAACAGTATGACCTACCACCTTTTGATGATGTTCGGTATATCTCACTAGCTTGTGAAGAGCACAGTTTTGTGATGTTGCGGTCTGGCGGCATAGCGGCAGCTAGTTCCCAAAGAACCATGAAGCTGAGGAAAGATTCGGGACTGTCCGTGCTTTCGGAGTCTGGATTTGGCAGCCGCAAAGGTGATCTTTATCCTCTTCACAACAATGACAAACAGCTATACGAGTATGTTTTTGAAGTGGTCGAGACTGCAGCAGTGAGCGACAGCGCCAGCCCGAGGAGCAAAGAGACCGATGTGTTTACAATCTGTGCGGTGTCGATGTGGAAGCTCAGCATGGTCCGGACCAACCCGTTTTGTCAGCCAAGCACAGCCTAAATCACCAAAGCTCTGTTTGGGTGGTCTCGCGTTGGATTTCAGCTCTGGCGCGGAGAGCCCCGGGTCGATAGGCGTCGCTTCGAAGGCTAACCACGAAACCCTTAAACCCTGAACCCAAGCCAACTTGGCTGCGACATAGCTGCCGGACAATCCAAATCCTGGGCCAGTGTCAGGATCTCCTGCATGTGGAGCTGGATTGTTTAGCGAGTTTACGGGTTTAAGGCATTGGGCGCTGAAGCTCCAAAACAGGTCAAACTCCAAACCCTGAACCAATGCTTGCTTGGCCTCATCTCTGATCACTGGCCTCTGAAATCGACATTTGGAAGGTTTACTGTTCAAAGTCACGGTGCTGCATGAATAAAGACAGCTGTGATCTTACACTCTTGGGGCGGCATGATCTTGGGGATCATTGCGCGCATGTGCGTGCACCCAGGATGTATGAACTTTGAGAGCTTGAAGTCTGAACTTGGGCCTAACTTGGGTGCACGCACAGCCCAAACAAAAAGGACATAGCTGCATGTACGAAATTCATGCATGGAGGCTGCCGAAGAATCCACGTCGGCAAGTAGATGTGGCCGAAAACCCAACAATCCGAAAAACATACGCCTAAGACCAGGGACCCAGACCCTCCAACCCCCAAAACTAACAAACTGAAGGCAGCAGGCACGAAGCCCGAGGCCCTACGGATCATCATGAATCATGACAAGAGTTCAATATAATAGAAATCACAAGCAGAGAAAAAATAACAACTAAGAAAACCCAAGGAGAAAGCGCTCCGTAACCATGGGCGTGACCAGGTCGGGGAGGAGCTGCCTCTCGAGGCCACGGGCGCCATCCCCCAAGAAGTCCTTGGATGTGTAGATGGCTAGGTGAAGGGTTGGGTTTGGGGTTTAGGTGGCAGGGTTTAGGATTTTGTGCTTGGGATTCGGGGAGCTGCGGGACGAAGGCTCTTGGTTAAGGGGTTGAGGTTTTGGGGATGGCGACTCTCTGTCTATGGTTCACAGCCCAGATTTCGGATTTCACGACTTCGGGCTGAGAATAAAGGCCCGACGAACGGCAAACAAAAACACAACTCTGAAGACCATAGACTCGGGTCTATGCCATAAACCCCTTTAGGGCCCTAGAGTCCCTGAGGATGCAAAGCCGACACCTACAGCTAAAGCCCGAAAGAACCTGGCTTTAGGCGCTTGAAGGCTGCTGCAAACAAGTCACACCTCCTCGAGTAGTTTGGCCAGAAGGGGACCGAGGGTTTGGAAATTAGGGCTTGAGGATTCGCACTTGAGGGCTTAGAGTATGATGGCCTACGGTTACCTACAGGCTTCAACCTGTGCCCACCCCATAGACCCAGCCCAAAAACACATCGCACCCAATTACAAGTCGCGAAAGACTTGCAGGATAACTCGCATTTCAGCTCTGGCATTGTCTACCCATCGAGAACTCGTAGAGGCCGAGCTCCGAAAGCACCCAAAAGATGAGCCTGGAATTTCCCAGTACACATCGACCCCTATGCAGTCCCAAGCCCCTGCACCCTGAAACCGAAACACTAAACTTTAAACCAAAACCGCCACATCCAAAACATCAACACGCTCAAACAAAAAAGGCCCCTCCTGAAACAACCGGGGTTCCCCGTAGATACGTGCCCCCTCGTCGTTGATCGGCGCACCAGCCAGCAATGAAAACTCCTGCTTCGAGGCGGGATCAGTGCACAGGATTCGAGTTTGGGGTTAGCTTAGACGAAATATTTGTGTTTAGGGTCTTCATGGGCAGGCCTCTTGAAGGGTCTTGACAACGACTATCTCTGTGTGTGTGTGTGTGCATAAATGAATGTATGTTTGACTACGCATGCTTTCATTCCAGTGTTTTACTGGAGCGCCTCGTGTGGCTGGTACGGCACCACAAGGACCAGCGTGGCGTCGGGCGCTGCCTTTTGAACCTGACGCCGCCAGAAATCGTGAAAGGGGAAACAGGAGCCCAAGTCTCGAATCCCTCAGAAGTCCTCCAACCGCAAACCGCAAACCGCAAACCTCGAACCCAAACCCTTTCAAGCCTTCACTCCAAAAACCGAAACACCGGACCCCATGCCCCTGAAAAGTCTCAAAGCATGCTAAATCCAACAAAGCCTGACCCGCCTACAGTGCTTCGAAACGCCGTGGAGGTTCAGGGTTTAGGGTCAAAGCCTCAACTACTTTACTAGAGTATAAAGCCCAAGACAGCCTCCCGCCTTGAAGCTTAAACCACAAAACCTGGACCCCAAACTTCAATCCTAAGCCAGCAACCCGGAACTCCAGCAATGAAAGCCGAAATTTTCAACGGTAATATCCAGGCACTGAGTTCCGTCACTTCAGCTCTCAAGCTCAAGCCCTAATAAAACCTACGCGCCAAACCCTCAAACCGGGAACCGTAAATCCAGACACTCAATACGCTATACCCGAAATCCTCATACCTTCGTACCCAAGCCCCACAGGCCCCCCCAGGCTATGCCCTCAACTCTAAACCCGCAATCCTAGGCCTCAAACTCTTTAACACAGACGTCTTCAGCCGCGTTGCTTGCTCTGCCGCCTTTTTCAGGCGCGCGCCGAACTCTTTGGCCACCTTGACACAGCTGTTTGTGGGCGGCTTAGTGGGGTTTGGGCTTTTCCAATATATCTACACACATACAGATCTTTCCCGAATCCGCCTTTCCATCTATCCCTGCGTCCATCTACCTATCTGTCTTTCTATCTTTCTTTCTCTATGGGTTGCGGTTGGGGGCTGTAGGGCGTTAATGTTTTATGTTTAACGTCCTGCTCGAGCTGCAGACACCGAGCGGTTACACACTTGGCGTGCTTGGTATTCCTCCGCAAGCAAACTCCTGAGAAAGACCGAGCCTGTAGGGTTGAAGGCTTTCGTTCTTTTCCGTGGTTTTAAGACATTCTGATGGGTTTGTTGGGTGGAGCTTTAGGCTTTAGGGCCTGGGTTTCTTGTGTTCAGGCTAGGCCAGGCTAGGTGTTCAGCTGGGTTTACGGGATCGGGGTTTCAGTTTCATGTACCAAAATGGGAAAACCCAGCGATTGCTTGATCTTCCTTTCCGAGGGGAGTAAAGAACTCCTAGATCCTACTGTCTTTCAAGCGGCTGCTAGGCCTTCGCATCGCATAAATCGGGCTGCAAAGCTTACGAGAGCTCGATCTGGTGTCATCCAGCCTCGCTACTGCGCATAGGACCACATTGCTTGGAGAAGTGTCTGTGTGAGTATGGTCTTTCTGCTGATGCCGGAGATTGTAAAGGGATGCGATTGCTACTTGCTTGGGCTCCTTTGTTCAATACGTGCATTGCCATAATAGCCAGAAGCCTCGCTGTTGGAGCCTGCCAAAACTGAAATCCTGAACGGCAAGCAGTAATCAGACTAGGACTAGGGTTTGGGGAGTTGGCTTTGCCGAACTGTGTAACAATATACCGATTTCAATATGCCATATACCGATTTCATGGAACGATTTGGATAGTGTTGTTGAGTATTCAGGCCCGTATAGTACGCCCACCCCCACCTCCTTGCGCACGCCCTCCGAACCCGGGACGAGGGAGTTGATCAACCTCGTCTTGACCCCGGAGTTGAGGTACACATCCTCGGTAGAAGTAGGGCCTCCAAACCCTCTGTGGGTTGGAGCTTCGGGACTCTTCCCGATGGCCAGGGTAGGCTTTACCGTCGTGAGTATCTGATGAGCCGTGAATCCTTTTGGGTTTATGGCATACACTCATGACTGAAGGTCTCGTGGATGCAAACTCGCAACTCCGCAAGTGTTGATGATGTTTGCCTTGTCCCAGCTCCCTCCGCCCGCAGATCTCGTGCGGGGAGCTGCTCAGAATTAGGGCCGCTTGCTGCTTGCTTTGGTGCCTACGATCGAGTAGAGTCCGTTTACACGGTCCGTTCCTCAGGAAATAAACACCTCGAAAACACTGAACCGAAGCCTCAAGCGGCTCAAGCGCATTCAAGCTACGGTTGGGTCGAGCTCTTGTTAACTCCAGAAGTTTTGCTAACTTAGATTATCGTTTCGGTTCCGCATTTCAGACTTATTGATAGGGTTGAAAATTGCCTGAGCCTGGGCATTTCAAGCTTACAAGGCTGAGGCAACTTACCACACTGAGCTGTCTGGAAGCATCCTCGTAGCGAACTAGACCCCCTCAACCTAACGAACGCTGGGATCCCCGTGTACACAAGATTCTTTATGGTCCCCGATTCACGTTGTCTCTTCGTTCACGGGATGGGCCCCTTAGATAGAATCCCCGAGCCTCACGCAGCAAAATCTTAAACCATAAATCCCAGAAGCTCTCAAGCCTTACGAGTAAAACCCTCAAATCCCTTCTCGCGCCAAGGAGCATTGCCGCCCAGGGAAAGGATGACCCACCGGACGTTGCTGAGACTTTTCCTGGTTTCGCAGACTAAACCCCAGATATCCCCAGACTAAGATCTAGGGATGAGGGTGTTAGGGTTCAGTACGAACCCGCTTTGGCGTAAGTAGAGCCAAGAGTTTGGATTTTTAGACCGGAAATCACGTCGCAATTATCCGCGCAGAACCCTGGTGCGGAGGAACATGAGGTTCCGTGAAGAATAATATGGGCAGCTTTGTACGAGTGACGCGGACCCCAGACGGACCGCAATTCAAAAACATAACTATGACGGATAGATAACGGAGCACAAGATGTGACCAGGTTAGTGATGGAGCGGGGTTCGGGATTCTAGGGGAACATCGGGCTGAATTAGCTTTAACTATGCCGGCGGGCTTGACAACTTCCAGAGCTCCAACTTGCAAAAGGCTTGAGCCATCGACCGCACATCCGAAACCCCAAATCTGCAATGGTTCCTGGACCCAATAACGTTGAGGGTTCAGGACTTTCCTCCTAGGTCTGTTTGGACCACGGCTCAAGTTTTTGACAGACCGGATGATACCATCCTTGTCCACCATGTACTTCTTGTCCTTTCAGAGAGCAGGGTTGAACTCATGAGTTTCGCGTTTCAGGGCTTACAGGTTCAGAGTCTATCCACAGGATGAGGGATTCAATACAACAGTCTCAAGAAGTATAGCAATGTCTTTTTGTCTTTTTCAATGGGCCTAGCATTCATCCCAAGGGATGCTGACCCCATCATGAGCTTGAGAATGGGAGAAGCGTTGATGACCCAATAGTCAAACGGTCGAACCATTTTGGACAAGCTACCAAAAAATACCTAAGCTTACAAAAGGAGACGAGGCACCACAGACAAAGAGCACCCGGACAGTATCCAAGAAACTCTACACGAACAATGCTCAACCCCTGCAAGCCATACTACAGCCTGAGCCGTAAGCTGCGAACTCCAAGTCCCTAGGTGCGCCAGTGTAAATGTCTTGTTTGGTCTATCCATGAAAAACGCACCAAACCTCTGAGCGTCAGCGAATAGTAGTCAGTAGTCAGTACTTGCTTTCTTGGGTGGGAAAGTGAACATCAGGTTCTGGATTTACGGTGTGCGGACTTGGATTCGGGCTTAGAGTCGCAGCTCTGGTGTGCATAGTGCGCAAGATTTCGTTTTGCGGGATTAAGGATTTAGGTAGGGCTTTAGGTCCTTTAGGGCCTGAAGGCTTCGGCTTTCGGGTGAAGTGTTTCAAGGCCCCACCCAAGAACCCCCCTGAAACCTAATGCGACGCACTGCACAACACAAACACGCACTACACTGTCCTGGCCTCCTCCGCCTCAAAATCAACCTTTTCCCGAGCTTGGGCGTAGACGTCCCAGGGATTCGCCTTGGGGGCTCCGATCTTCCGTCTCTTTTCTGTAAGATTTGCGCTTTAGAGTTTGCTGCTGGGCTGAGGGAGGGTCTAGTGCTAGGAAAGATCATTATTGGATCCTTGGAGGTCCTTTTGATCAGACGTTTTGATTTATTCACAAGAATACTCCTCGACGCGGTTGAGCCATTGTGGAACCCCACGCGGGGCACCCTATAATTGCGTTTCAATCGGAGGCTGTTTCGGTTCCAGGATTTCATGTCAGCTTCAAGTAGCATAACTGACCCCCTCATCCTCTCGTGGGTGCAGGAACCCCTTGCACATAAAATATCAACCGCAAAACCACGCGCTTGTCTGTCATCTCTGGTTGGGATCCAGAGAAAGGGTTCTGCGAGGTGTTCGACCTTCTGGCACCGTTCGATGGAAGCGTTCACAAGGCTTCCTAGCCGGCTTCATGAGCTCAGAGCACAGGAATTTGAGTCGGGGGCTGAGCGGCTCAGCCTCACACCCTTTAAACCTTTGAGCTCCAAACAACCCTGACTACAGAACCCTAAACAATCCTGCTTACCTCGATCCCTGGACAATTCGATCTTTCCTATGCCTAGGCGGAACCCTAAACCTTGGTAGGCTTTTCTTGGGATGCAGGCTTGGGAACATCGGGGCAGTTCGAATTCGGAGCGAAACAAGAACAGGTCAAGCTTTTACGTTTGTTGCCTGATAGGCTAGACGTCAGGGTTCAGCGGTCAGGCTTGGGCAGAGATCAACAAACCTCTTTTTTGGAGACTGTGAAAAGACAAGCTTGGATCTACAACTCATTCGGACCCTCCTGAAATGACTCGTGTGTCCTTTGGAAATTTAGCTTCGATTCGTCCGGCACGGGGCTTTGTCGGTTGTAGGCTTTCCAGTTGGTCCGAGGTTGCATGGCTTTTAACTTTCGGCTTTGAGCTCAAGTTTCAGGGGCGAACCCCGAGTTTATTTCTTAAACATTACCAGGTTACCACCTTGAACATCAACACCAGACCCTTTAGCCGAGACCCCACACTCCTAACCTGCTACCCAGCTTAACCTAAATCCCTAAGCTTGGACTCCTAAACCCTAAAACCTACTGCGCTCTAAGTCTTTTACCGTGACTTTCTTGGGGCTCTCTGCAGCTCGGCAGCGGATGCGCTGCGTTCCTCAAAGTCAAAGGTCGTCATCTGGTCCTGCACACAGCTGGGAATGAAAGGCTCAGGGCTTGTCCTAATTATTGTCCTAATGGATGAGTAGAACAGTCACTCAGCCTTGGCGACGACCCCAAGTCCTTCAAGTTTGCTCATCCTAAACTGACGGTCGGAGCTCGCTGAGTCGATGCTCGCGTGCACCGTGCTTTGACTAGAGACTGCTGTGTCAGCTCTGGTACTGGAGCTCACGGTGGTGTGGGTGTCGGTGCTGCTGCTGCTGCTGCTGCTGCTGCTCCTACTGCTGCTGCTGCTGCTGCTGCTGCTGCTGCTGCTGCTGCTGCTCCTACTGCTGCTGCTGCTGCTGCTCCTACTGCTGCTGCTGCTGCTGCTGCTGCTGCTGCTGCTCCTACTGCTGCTGCTGCTGCTGCCGCTGCTGCTGCTCCTACTGCTGCTGCTGCTGCTCCTACTGCTGCTGCTGCTGCTGCTGCTGCTGCTGCTCCTACTGCTGCTCCTACTGCTGCTGCTGCTGCTGCTGCTGCTGCTGCCGCTGCCGTGCTGAAACGCCGATGTGGTCGACAACTACTCCCCTCACATTTCTTACTCATGCTCTTCTATCACCAGTCCTGCAGGCAGGGCCGGAGCAGTTTTATTAGATGGCGACCCTGGTCATAAGGACCTCCAAGACGGAACACCTAATTTGAGAAACCCTGGTGTAGTTGGTGCTTCGGGAAGCCCGGAGGATAAGGTGGAACCACGCATAACCCCTGCCATGCCGGACAACAACAGGGAAACTATGAGGGCATTAGGCCTAAGTCCCAAATCCCGAGCTTGCACATCCCGGAATCTTAAGAAGACCGCGGGTCCACTGCCAAGTTGACGACTTGAAGCTGTCGAACCTCATTCTAGGCTTGTACACTGTATGTCTGAGCAGTATTGTGTTTTGTGGCAGAAACACCCATCATGACAGTGTGGTAGCAGGCTTGACCCTAATCCACAAGAAGTCTTCCAACCTGATGAAGGAACCTGCTGGAGAAATCTGGCTCTATATGGGCTCTCAATTCCCAATTTTCTGGTGATTCGGAACAAAGAGCTTGTGAGTGACGCGCGAAAATGTCTCGGGAGGCCTCTCTAAAGCAGCCTGGACCACGGATGTCAAAAGCACGAAGGTCCCTTCCGAAAGTACATAGTCTAGAAGGAGCATGCTATGACATTGATGACCTCGAGAGGGGACACTTATCTTGACCACTGCTCGCGTCCTCGCAAGGATGGACCCTGCCATCAGTATGAACTAATTCCCCAGCGGTCCTCGACCGAATCCCTCTCACTGATACGGACCGGGTCCTACACACTCACAGGCATAGCTCCGAAAAAGCAGCCCTCTACCTTGTGATTTAAGCTTAAATCCAGAAAAACCCTTAAGGGCCTCGCCTTTGCATCCCGGCTCTTGCCCAACGTCTCCTGGCAAGGAGTTGTTTCGAGCTTGCCGCCGGCTTTCACTTTTCAGGGTTGCAGGGCTTCCAGCGTTGGTAACTTCGGTTGAGGCTCCGGATTCAGGTTTCTCAACAAATATTCGGCAACCACTCGCCAGCGCCATGTTGCCGTGGTTCCAGCGGCTGGTGTTCGGGGATGCTGACGAGATAGACGAACACCTACAAGCCTGAAGCCTGAACTACACCCTAGATCGATGGATTACCAACAGCATCGGCATTGCTGTCAACAATGTTGCTCCAGTATTGTTATTGCTAGTATCTTTGCATTGTACCAGTGATCAATCAGAAAATACGAACATTACGCGTTGCTCGTGAAATGGGACTCAGCATTCAGAGCCACTGTGGTCTGGTAAGTCGTAGGCCCCTGCTTCGTAAGCCTTTACTTCGACAGAAGCATGGAACTTGTATAAAATCAACACAAACGGATGCTGTCTCGAACACAGGCCTCGAAAGCGCAGGCAGACCCTGTCGAGGATCCGAGGTCTGACATCAAAAGTTCAAGGCAAAGGAATATCCTGGAGCTGGACTCGAAGCGGCCGTGATGGAGTCTCCAGCCTAGCCGGCAAAGCTTACAGTCTTTTTTTGTCTAGGCTCTATAGGATTCGACTGCATGAATTATACAAGAATTTCTGGGTCCAAGCACCGAATCAAGTCATCCTTCGCTGATAGGGGCAAGAGGATGCGGTTATATCCTTCTCGCAATGACTGGCACCATGGCTTTCCGCTTGCTACTCCTGCAGCTGTTCTTCTTGATAACCCCTGTTGGTCGATTACCAATGGTCGCACTGCTGTCGCAGCGGCTCTCTACTTCTGTTTCCAAAGACTACCATGATGCTGCTCGTCCTCTTTATACCATCCTTGGCCTTACTAGCGTCAGCTTTGCACACACGGTTTTGAACATCCAGTGCGCTTACTGATGTTTTCGCATGCAGACTACGATTTGTCTCCTGGTCTAGCATTGGGCCCCAGAGGCTAACGTTGGCGGGCTCAAAGAAACAAGGTACGAGGGGTTTAGGGCTTTTACAAGCACGAAAGGTTTGGGTTGCAAAACTCTACACCATATCGCACACCCTTAAGACCTTTAGAAGCTAGACCACGAACAAACCTTAGATCCTTCGCACATACCAAGGAGACCAGGTGCGATAGCAGCCAAGTGTCCAGAAGAAGTTGTCGAGCACTGAATCCCCCATCAAGACTACCTGTGGGTATCTACACTAAGTCGTGTAGAGCTTGGGGCTTCCAGGGATTCAGGACCTCCAGACTGCACCACTGCCACCACCACCAGCACCGCCGCTGCACCACTACAACTACAACAACAACTTCCTACTGCTACTGCTACTGCTACTGCTACTGCTACTGCTGCTACTGCTACCACTACTACGACTACTACTACTACTACTACTACTACTACTACTACTACTACTACACATGCTCCTCCTCCTCCTCCTTCGTCTCCTCCTCCTCCTGCTGCTTCTACCGCTAGTACTCGTACTCGTACTCCCACTCGTACTCGCGACACTGCACCCTGAAGAAGCAGCTGTGCCTCTAAACCCTACATGTTCTGGAACGAACTTTCTGGTTTGGGGGCCGAGATGTAGGTGACATCGGTGCGCAAAGGATTACTGTAGAGTAGGGTCTCGCGGGCATCTTATAGGGCAATCGCGAGGAGGTGGGCAAGTGTTTCGGGATGTAGAGATCCAAGCTTCGGGCGCCAGTGTAGCGGACATGCAATCATGCGAGCACTTTCACTTTCGGGGTGCTGGTCTGAGAAAGGCGCCAGGCTCATCTCATATTTCTCTGCTTCTGAGGTTTGGGAGTTGGGGCTTTGGGGCTCAGCTTAAATTCATTTCAGGGACTAGGGCCCAGGGCTGATGTGAATGCTCAAGGGAGGGAAGACAAAGAGAAAGAAGTATTCAGCTGGGAAATCTGAGGGACCTTGAACCCTAAGCCCAAAACGATGTGAATCAGGCTCTACTAACTGGAAGTTTGGTAGTTAGGCTGCATTCCCGAAGCAAACACTTGCGGCCCCTAAATGTGTGCAGGACAGAAGACCCCAACCCCGACGACCTAATGGCCCGAAAAATACACATCACAGCCCTGCTGTCCGCTCAAACTTCAAAACCGCTTCCGGTTCAAGGCTTCGGGTAAAGGCTCAGGGTTTGGAGTTCAAGGCCTTGGAGATTGAGGTTTCGGGTTTTGGATACATTAGAAGGTTTTTCATCGGTCATCATCGGTCATCTACGGCCTGCTGAACTGGCTGGTAGGACTTTAGCCGGGTAGTGCCTTTCCGGAAGCTCCACATACAGTGCTGCAATTCAACAGGGCGGAATCGGATGCCCCGGTGTAAAGATGACCAACAGACACAACCCAGCCCCAAACCATCCAAACCCTCTACCCTAAACATCCCTAAACTATGAACCATAAACCTCAGCCGATCTTCCCCCTTCCCTGTAAATAACTATAAACCAACAACTTACATAACAACACAAAATGAACATCATACACGACATTGGCTAAACCAGTTCCATCGATCTGTCGAAACCTGAACTGCTCTCACAAGCGCCTTTGGCGCACTGGCATTCGCTGTGCCCACTCCAGCAGCATGCCGGCAGAGGCCTGAGGTTCCAAAGGTCGTTGCAGAAAGTCGTGAAAGAACAAGTAGGTAAGCCACGGACCGAGGTTTGATGTTCCAAACGTGCCAATAAGCCTGAAACTAAAGCCTTCATCGGAACTTGGCAAAAGATTCCAGATTGCAAACGGCCCGCAAATCGTCAGCAACTGAAGGTTCGATGAGGACCTCTCAGTGGTAGTTGCGTGTGTCTTGCCAGTACTGTTTCTGGTAATCCAGGGTATTGGGAACACGTTGCACACAAGCAGCTTGTACAAGGCACGGTCAAAGTTCCAATGTCCTACGAACATCTGGAGGTGAACATTGCTACCGCATCCGAAGCTACATGCTGTTGTTACCGCACCTTGAACATAGACAAGCTGGGTTGGGATGCGTAGTGGGTAAGTTGATGGGTAAAGGCTGGGGCAAGTCTTGGCAACCGTACATTTCGTATCTTTCTCCGGGCTTGCCGAACGGAGCAATGCTTTTACACATCCGCCGAGATATGCAAACTGTTCCGACCACCTGCACTGAAAAAAACTCAAAATCCCGACTGGAGAGCCGCAGGGGTACGTGAAGTCACAAACGAGGCCGACACACAACAAACATTGAGAAGTGGAGAGACGTTGGAAGTAATCTGGGAAGCAGTCATCAAGCGGATACTGTGCAATTCAAGATATTACCTGGAGTCTCCGCTTGAGGAACAATACACGCTTTGACCAACATGTGTCCGCACGGAGCAGCAAATCACAGCCGGGGCGACGGAATGCAAAGGCAGTCATCGCAAGCCAAACAGCCAATGCCAGAATGGATTTTACCGCTGGTGTTGGCGAGGTCTGCATACTAATACTTGGCCCACCTACAAGTAGTATCCACCCCCTCGACCCCGACGCACACGCACGCACACGCACACGCGCACGCACACGCACACGCACACGCACACGCACACGCACACGCACACCCACACCCACACCCACACGCACACGCACACGCACACGCACACGCACACGCACACCCACACCCACACCCACACCCACACCCACACCCACACCCACACCCACACCCACACCCACACACGCACCCACACCCACACCCACACCCACACACGCACACACACACGCGCGCACACACAAGGAGTCAAAGCCTCAACGAGTCTCAACACTCGAGCCATTTCCGCGCAAATTCACAGCTGCAAGTATCGTGACACAATCACAGCTGTCAGCATTGATGACACAGCTGCATCGAACTACTCCAGCCAGCCGACCTCTTTTGCTGCCAGCGACACGTCGAGACAGGGCCACACTACACAGACAAACAAACTTGCCTCGGCTTCGATCCCCGCGCCGTGCCCTGCAGCCAGCTGCGGCGAAGGCCGCCGCACCCAGCGCGACAACGTGGTGATAGCTCGAGGGTCGCCTGGAGAGAAATTGAATTTCACTATTGAAATCCATCTCCGCAGCAGGTGTGCTTAACATGTAAATGACAAGTGCTGCAGGACTTGATGAAGAGGTTTTGCCAGAACTGTGCCTGCAATTGCCAAGTGATTGAAAAATCTGTCATAACGGGTCCTTGCACCTGGTTGCATTGATCGGCTTGCAATTTACGACCAGATGTTCTGCACAGTTCTAGCTTTTCACAAAATGCTCCACCAAAAGAGGCTTTGCACTCTCCGGACCCGTTCCCGAAGGGATTATATAGTTCCAAAACCCCAACGGCCGACTCCGTGATATTTGTACGAGCCATTGTCGTCATTAGGGTCATTGTTGAAGAACGCCGGCCACGAAGATATGTTTATAGTCTCTGTAGGTATATATACCCAGTACGGACCCGTGACTACTGATTCAGGATCCACTGGTAGACCATGTCTGGGGCGGGTGGGGGTAAGCTGCGCCCTAGTACCTCTGATTTGTATAAGGCCATCATGATTCAAACCATACATGGTCCGGGCACTTTGCCTGTCCGTCAAGACATCACAATCCACCCGAATGGCAGGTTTTCCGGCCAAGGAACTCGAATTGTCAGTTCGTTTTTGCCAGGTGCAGGTAAGACCTACTCCCACTGCTACTGTTACCGCTGCTATTGCTACTGCCACTGCTGTTCCTACTATTCCTATTCCTACTGCCACTCCTACTGCTACTACTGCAACAACGACTACCACTGCTGCGACTTCTGCTGCTGCTGCTGCTGCTTCTGGTGCCTCTACTACGACGACGCTCTTCAGCTTTTAGTCGTCGGCACCTCGCCAGCGATTCCCAACGAGCTTTGGTCGCAAACGCTGCGAGCGTTGTGGTGGCCGACAGCGTCGGCGTCGGGTGGAGGCTCGTAGCAGGAGAAACCATCATGCTTAGACTCTTAGGTTAGATGTGGGTTCAGAGTTTCGTACCACCATTTGGTTTCTGAATTGAGCAGCTCTTGAATGCGACTTGCTTTGGACGAGAAGCGGGCTAGCTGTGTGGGTTGCGTATTCCTTGTGGCTGCAGGAGTGCGGTCACTCAGCTTTGTTTGGGCATGGTTGGCACCAGCTGCAAGCATGCGCGGCAGGGAAGCCTTGCGAAGAACAACGACGCGAAATTCGACAAGCACCGGTTTGCCTACTCCATCACTAGCTTGCAGTGAAACGTGAAGCTTGCAAAGCCGAGTGCAACGTGGGACTCTCACTTTGAGGTGCACATTCGCCGAATTTGGACTTCGTGTTCAGGCCCGGGATAAGTATTGTCATGTGAATACGTTTTTTTGCGTGGTTTCAGGGCTTGCGCTGTCCCGAGCAAGGAAGGAGACTCCTGTACAGTACGCACGACTCTTTTCCATGCAGCTGTGAAAACGGTCATGCATCCAGCTGAAGATGTGTGCAAGGACACGGAATGTTAGGTAAGGCTTCACTTCAAGCCTACAGATGCAGGGTGTGGAGGTTTGGGTCTCTAGCAGCCTTAGGGTTTCGGGTTTCGGACTTGCAGGACCTCCAAACCCCAGTCAAATTAGCTCGCTGTGCTTCTGCATGCCTGGCATCCCTGCTGGGTCAGCAGGCACTCGGCTCCATCGGCAAACAAGTGCTGAATCGTTGTGCCAGCTCAGAACCCAAACAGTGTAAGAGCACCTAGCAGTTCATGCCAGGCTCCCACCTTTTCGGTTCTAAGCTATTCTAGTGGCAGCTACGTCTGTGCAAACTGCATGGGCCGAACACCGAACCCTGCAGGATCGAGTTAAGAGCCCCTTCTTTGCCGATGTGTGCCGTGCCCCGAGCTGATATGAAAAGCAGAATCCTACCTTCTGTAGGCTCTTGCAAAAGAAAAACAAATTGGTGTCTGGTTTAAGGCTTCTCGCGCTGCTTTTGACATCGGGTGCCGGGCTTCGGGAGTCTAGGGCTCTCTGCTACGTTGTTTATCGTGTGAGAAAGAAATCGAAAAGTGAATTCTAAATGCACAAGCAATAATGCTTTTCAAGTCAGGGGCACTTGGGGTTCATGATCGGGTAGAGGTGATATAATGCGTTTACAGGCAGACCATCCCCAAAAGAGCAAGTCGCCAGCAGTTGTTTCTGTCTGGGTGCCTCTCAATTGGTGCAGTTACTTTTGCCTTGGGGGCACTCACAGGATTCGGTCCAGGGTTTGGGGAACGCCTGTCATGATTCAAGGTTACGTAGGAGTTCGGGCTGAGGCGAAAAGTGTTCCAACAGGAGTCATGTGAACTGTTGCGGGGGTCCTGACGCCGAAAGCCTGAAGCCCGACTAGATCAGATCTGCATGTGCGAGCATTTGGCCTTCAGGTACCAGCCTTGGTCACGTGGGCCACGGGTTGGAGAGCGAGAACGTCTTACGACACTCCATCCCACAGCTTCGTGCACCGTCTGACCTCGAGTCCCCAATCCTAAGCCTTAAACCCCCCGACCGGATAACCCAATCCACGATGGTATTTTGACGCCCTAAGCCCCAGCCAAAATCCTCTATACCCTAGACCGCTAGACCTACAGCCTCACCACCGCAAAACCCTCTAAAGTCGAGACATGTCACCTGAAACTGCCCCACAAACCCGGCGATTCCGGTGTGGTCCTGTGTTGAGGGCTTGTGTTCGTTGTGGAGCTTTCGGGGTCCTAGAGAGGTCTTGTAGCACTTCAAGGGTCCCTCGACCACCACAGCCCCAGCCACACAAAATGGAAATGCCAGACCCCACAGCCCTGTGACGCACTCAAAGTCTGCACCGGAGCTGCCAACAGCTCCACATTGACTGGACGACCATGGATTCCGGTGTTGGCATGAGATTGAGTTTCTTTGAGTTATTCTGAATGACTCCAATCCGAAAGCCTAAACCCTGCCCTGTAGCGGCTCGGACCTCGCCCTAAACCCTTTTCATCCCAAACCCCCTGATGATCCGGCACATTTCGGCGAGGTTTTGCGTTTACTTTGGCCGGCTCTTTTGTTACAACTGCAGTGGAACAATGCTGCGCTACAGAAGTTTGTGTGGTGTGTTCGGTACTTTTCGCTTTCTGGGCGAGTGCGTCAGAGCCATGGGGGATGTTAAGAGTTGCAGATTTTGGGCTGTTGTTGTGTTTCCCTGGGGCACAGGTTGTGCGCGGAGAGCTATCGGCGGGACTTCAATACGGAAAGCTGACACTGAGTTAAAAGAAGCCGACCAAATTCAGATCCCAGCAGGTTCATGTGCAGGACAACCCGATAAGCCTGCTAGCTGAGCACGCTGGGGTGATTTCTCTGCCGAATTACACCCAAATCCCTGAATGATGATGATAAAACTGTGGTTGCGCCACACCGAAATTTGGAAAGACCGCCGCTTTACTGGTTCGCACAAAATTGAAGTTCAGTTCTGAAGCTCCTGAAGACTCGAGCGTCAGAGCTACGCTGAAGCTCCTGAAGACTCGAGCTTCAATTCTTCGGAGTTTCAGGAAGAACATACCTGAACCACCCCAGGCGTGCGATCGAAATTTGAGGAGACATCTGACCTGAACCCTCGACCCCAAAGCCCCTAAAACTCCTCGCTTATTGGCAGGGATCGCCCTCAAGCTCCCTCCCCCAAAGACTGGAAGCTTAGGACCCTCATCGAGGGAGCCTTGGCCGTCTGCGTCACCTCGCTGACCACCGCCGCCGCCGCGAGGGCGACACCCGGATCGCCTGAGGTCTTGCAGGGAAATATGGGAAGGGTCTAGGGTTTGAAAAACCGCAACTGAGAACTTGGGTTTGCGCGGGATGCTGAAGAATCACTCGGTGAACCCTTTCCGGCACTCCGAAAAAAGGATGCCGGGCAGCTCGCACAGGATGACCCAAGCAGCTAAATGTTTTTTTGAGGAGAACACGGCCATGGGAATTGCACAGATGTCTGCGCAGCATCATTCGAACACATCACGTTTCAAGGTTTAGGGCTCAGATGAATCAATAATGTCGCAAACTCGCAGACCTTAACATACACGGTCTAATTAGGGATTAGGGTTGATGTTCCCATGCTGCTTATATGAAGTCCAGACCAAGCTACCGCTGCCCACCGACGCAGCGCCTGTGCAAGAAGATCCCTCGAAACCCAAAAGACCATAAGCCCAATATTAAAGCCTGAAGCCCTTGCTGAAACCCGATGCCGCAGACGAATCTCAATGCCCACGCACGGTGTCCCTGAAACCCTGGCAGACCTAGGGCTGAGTCTGGATTTGGTGCGTAGATTAAATAAATACAAGTGCACTTGGTTCTCCCCCAATTGACTGCTGCCCATTTCGTTGTAAGCTCTTGGGCAACGGCTCAGGGCTTTAGCTTAGACCTGGGCTCCGTGGGGTTAACTCTCACCCGTTCAGAAGTCCAGCCTCGTAAAGCCCAGAAACTCAAAGTGTTTGTGTCTGATGTGCGGTTGGCTGCTAGCTTGTGCGATTCACAGCTCTTGGTTCGCACAGAGGGTTCTCTGACTTGCGAGAAACTCTTTGAGATCCATGAACTGAGCATGTTTTAACGAGCTATCCCCGACTTGATGAGGGTTTGATAAGATCTTTAGACAGCTATTTCCAGGCAAAAGGCTTTCAAGCACATCCCCAAGCACTTCATCCTAGAACCCTGAAGCCCAAACACCACCAATGAAGATGTTGGGGGCCCTACAATCGGTACAGCAAGGCTTGCGCTGGGTTTCAGCGTCTGTGCAGAAGGATTTCGTGCGTCGACGGTGGGGGCCAAAGGGTTTGGCTTCGGCCCCACATGCACCCTAAACCCTAAACCCTATTCCGAAGCCTATGGGTGTAGGACTTAGTGTTGTAGCGGCTTCCGGCTCTGTGCAGGGTTTCCATTGGTGCCGCCTTCAGGCTCATTACAGACGCAAGACTCCTAACCTAACTGGAACACTCTCAGAACCCGAGCCTCAGCTCAAAACCATATCATTCAAGCTTACATGCGGATCAATCAGCGAGAAAATCCCAAAGCCTAAAGACTGCAACCCGAGGCCCCAACCCCCTCAACGCTGAAACTCTAAATTCAGGCATCTTACGCCTCAAGCCATCCAGGCCCCAACCTCCAACCCCAGACTGAAAAGCTCCAATACAAAGGCATGATGTTGGAGGTCAACACACTTTAAAAACATCTTGGAGATAGAGGTCCCGAATACAGATTTCGGAGCTATACATGTGCTTAAGCCCTGAACCATAAGTGGAATACGGTTTCTCGCTATCGGGGTGCCTAGAAAAAAGCCCTTTCATCTGCCCGGCATATCAATGCTACAATCTTGGTGTAAGTTGCTATACCATGATCACGGTGCAGGATTTAGGGGTTAGGGTGCCTTTGGAAGTAGGAAGGAGCAATGACGCCACGGATACTAAAAACCACGTAGTATGCATTGCTGCAGGTAGCTCCCAGGCATGCACCCCGATGCCGCCCAAAAACAGTTTTCAATCCTGCACCAGTGGTATACTAGTCGCAGACTTGTGTGTTGCATGCTTCTGACTGCTGGACCTCCAAACCAAAGGCAATCGAACCCTAAATCGGACAAAGCTCTACATCCTACAGGATGGACCCTGGACCTTGGGGCTCCAAAAAATCCACACCCGAAAGCATAAGCGCAAACAAAAGGGTTTACTCTTGGCCTTGTGGCGTTGAGGACTGCCTGGCTCCCAGTGGTGGGGCTCTTGGGTTTAGAAGGTCGTGGGGGAGTCTTGAGGTCCAAGTCTTCAGGTTCTCGCCATGTATGCTCCAAGCATGCATGAAACATACTTACATACATACATACATACATACATACATACATACATACATGCATACCTACTTACATAGATACACGCATACATAGGTATATACACGCATACGAAATTATTGCATATGCGTATTCGCATATATATATATATACGCATGTACATACCAATTCAAACGTGTCGCTATATGCATGTATATATACATATATACATATAAATATAGATATCACCGGTATATAATATCTAAAATTGCACACACAATGTTGGGTGTAGAAACATAGTCTCGGTTATAGCATGTCTCATCATATTACAGTATCTGATTACACTTCAACATAGTATATGAATGAACTACTACAATATTATATTACAGTTTTGTGTACTACAGTTTTGTGAAAGTATTGTAGTATATGGTATAGCATGCACTATCATATCATATTCTACTGTATTAAGCTGTTGTAATGCGTTCTGATATCATATTTTCTATTATATGATATCACAAACATACACAGCATCTACTACATATGGTGAATATGGCTTCCAATATTAGATGTCATAGTACAAAGTATGATATGTTATACTACATTTCGTCGCGTCATGCACTATAATACAACGCACTTTTTCATAGAATACAGCATGGTAACATTATGTTACTATGGATAATGCAATATTCGACTTTGTAATAGCGTGCTATGTGAAATCATGTTATGTTGTATTATGTTACAATATGTTGTGTTATGTGATGTTGTGTTGTATAGTTCTTTCGTATAGCTTGAGTATATTTCATGATATTAGATAACCATGTCATGTTTTGCGTTGCTATACCACATGATGCTATGCTTGTACTATAGAGACTTGTACTTAATTGTATCAAAACGATATTATTCTTTGAATGTGTAATAGCATGTGTATATATAAATATATGTACATTTATGCGTGCGTGTGTGTGTGTGTGTGTGTGTTTGTTTCTGTGGTTCTACTATATAGGAATGATGAATAAGCACACAAACATCTACACACAAATAAATAAATACATAAATGCATAAACATCTTCACATGTGTGTGTGTGTATATATATATATATATGTATTTGTGTACGGATTGGTGAACGCACTCCTCAATGCATGCAGAACTGATCCATCAGGACCGTGCAGTGAGGGCCACCAGGCCTATCCTGCCGGGAAGGGGCGGGGGGTGGGGCGAACGTGAGTCCATCCACGACAAGACCTGGTCTGCGGACAGGAAAAGACAAGTAAGAAAGAGGAGGCATGAAGGATTGCCACGAGTCTCCCTCTCAGCATGGGGAGTGTTTGGGTGTGTGAGCATATACATATACATATATACACGTACGTACATACATACATGCATACATGCATATATGTAACATATAAAATTACATAGATACACATACATGATATATACATGTGTGTATATACACACACCTGTAGATAGGTAGATACAGAAAATTATGCATGCACACCTTCCGCACTCGCTCAGTCTCGGTTGATTTCCCGGAGCCTTGCCATGGCCGAATAGAGCGCTTCGTCGAGGTGGCTGCTGACCAAGTTCTGGGTCAGAGCTGATTGAACTTGACTCGCAAAGTGCTACTACTTTTAGCTTTTAGGGTGTGGGCGTTTTAAGGTCTGGGGTTTGGGACTTCAGGGCTTAAGGTTTTTTATGGAGGGGTTTCAAGGCTTGCGGTTCACTGCAGAACTGTAGATGATGCCGCGGAGCTTTGGGTGTTGCGGGTGCAAGGCTTCAGGGTTACCGTCGGCACATCATCATAGCTGCTGGATTCTAGGTTTCGTTTCAGAAATACGGGGGACCCTGAATGCTCCCTTACAAGCCCCAAATTCTGGATGGCCCAGCGGAATAAAGTCTTATTGTGGCACCCTGCGGATTGAAGAACCCACTAGAAATGCCCATCAAAGCTAAAGGCTGAAACCCCTGTCGATGCGAGATCCCGACACCCCAAAGGTACCAGGTTCCCGCGCCGCGGTGCTTTGAGCGCCGCCGCCGCAACCTGACAAACATGCCGAGCCGCTCAGAGAAAGAAAGTCGGATGTCGTGCAGGGTTTGGGAAACATCGTTTTAGGGGAATGTCACACGACAGTGTAGTTTAAGATACGGTTGGGCTGCGCTGGCGCAGGATGTGAAAGTAAATTGCAGCTTGGAGATGGGGCCGCTATTCTGCATGTATATTTACAGGTTCCATGGTCTATCTAGACTTTGGGTGCTTACGAAGGCACATCGCGCATTCTGGAGCAGTGTATAGTGTTTGCAGGCTTTCTATTCTGTTCCTCCGACGTCGGCCTGAGCCGTGGGTTCTTGCGTTGTGTTCGGGATTTGCGCACAAGGGCGAACAAGTGCAAACGACACTGCACGCAGACAGAAACATCCTTATTGCCGGAAACAACAGCAAATCTAACAGGGCTGCCATATGTCGGTACCATGTGTCGCATCGAATCCAAGGCGCCCAAACCGTGGCTTCTGTACTCTGAACCTCGAGACCATAGACCGAAACCTACAGCCTCTCAATCGAGACAAACGCCGGCAGGGTCTTCGCAAAAAAGGGAATATGACTAATTATAATGACTATAAAAATTTATGCTTTAAATCCCTGTTTCTCTGGTCCCTACCATTCTCCATTCTGCTTCTGAGGTTTCCGCTGCTCGGAGAAGCCGCGCTGTCCTGAACGCGATTGGTTTGGGGGTAAAGTTCCGAAACCATACAGGAGTTGTAGGTAAGGGTTCAAACACCTTCAGTTCTTAAGGGTTCAGCACCAGGCGATAAGCGGGCTCGGATCCAGGTGCTAAAGTCCGTAGGCTTGAGGCAAAAGTAATGATAGTAGCTTTAATGCGGAGGCCCATTCGGGTATGGTGTACTTCCTCAAGCCATTTCTGCACGCATGCTTGGGTGTCGAAGCATGTAGCGCAAATAGTTCAACCTGAAACCTGGAGCCTTCACAATGGTATTTTCTTCATCCTCACGCCCCCAGCAGCGCAGAGTTCAACCTCGTCCAGAGCTTTGGAAATTACAGGAGTTAGTTTGCGGAAGCCCTGCACACTCTGATCGGCTTTGGGTACGAGGATGAGCATGCTAAGCCCGCAAAAGCCTGGGCTACAAAGCCTATAAACTCTGTGGAACTGAAGCCTCACCCACACCTCCTCCATGACAGTGCGCCCCGTGTGCGAGGAGTCCAAGGGCGATCCGCTCTCCAGAACTGCGCTGCGGTCGGTAGGCTTGGTTTTCAACTGTTGGGTAAGGGCTTGGGGTTAAGGGCTTCAGGCTTCTTCCGGATTTGTTCGGACTATGGGCAAATCCGGTTCCATTTTAATTTAATTAAGAGCAGCTAGTTAGCCATGCCGACTGCCAGCTCAGCAACAGAAGCTCTCCGTCTCGTAACGGTTCCTGCAATTCTCTGAAGCGCGACACTATCTTCCCGAAGCATGCGGAAAGGGTTTGAGAGCTTGCAGGGTTTGGGTTGTTGGCCTGTGACTGTGCGGAAATTTCTGCATGTTTCGCAATGTAGGGTTGCGGAAACCAATCCAAACGCTGAAGCGCGTTGGCTCTCTGCTAGCATCTGCAAGGCTCGCCGGTTCTAGATTCTAGAATTTGTCGCTGCGAAGTTTGCACGGCTGCCCACAGGAGACATGGCGTCTCTCTGTGGATCGCCACGGAGGTGTCCATACGAGCGACCAGGAACAGGCACCACCCCAACACAGACTGGAAGGGCTTGTTTTTCCAGGTCTCCTAGCCACAGTGACACCTGCGAGGCAAAGAAACTGTACACTCTGCCTCTGCATCGCATTTTTCAGTCTGCCTCGAGGGTCCCAGTGCATCAAGTCGTCTCAGTGAGTTTCTATTCAATTCAGCAGCTTTTCGCCCAAGATTTATGCCAAGTTTCTGTACAATTTGGGCACTCGGACCCTAAGGTCTACAGTCCGTGAAGCCGCCAATGCAAGATCGAAGCACCCGCAACTTTCATGAACTCCTCTAAAGGATCATAGAACCACGATACGCTGAAACCTGATCCTGAAACTCCAATGAGCCCCGAGGCTAATGCTTCCATTAGCAGCATAGCCTCTTATGCCAACCCCTGCGCCTTGTGGATCAAACCATAACAACAGCCTCACAACCGTCGTCTAAATCACCAGAGTGGGCTGGAACCCTGTGCCTAGCCCGAAGTATCTCCCTGTGACTCACCAGAAGTATAAGACACTATTCTGGAAATCGTGCTTTGGAAGCCCAGCAAGAATCAAAATCAATCCGTCAGTCGTCAAATGCCCGGCGCCAGCTGTGCAAATGACCCGTTGTGGGTGGCTGCCACCTTTGTCGCTAGGGAATGTGTTCGGATTTTACAGGGTTTCTTTGCTCTGAGTATGGCCGTTTGTTGTCGAGGTTTTGTTGAGAAGTACTCATGGCATAGCAGGGCTTTCTCTTGTCTTTCTCTGAAGGACTAGTTGCCTGAATCAAGAGGCTTAGTTGCTCGGTGACACGGCTGATCAAGGATTTCTTCTTCGGGCCTAGAGTGCAGTAGGTTGAGTGGTTCCCACTTTTGCCATGTGGGGTTTAAGCGCTAGGAACTTCTTGCTTAACATTTCTGGCGCAGTTCAGGGTGTTCAGAAATCCGTCTTGCTTCCCGCCAAAAGAAAGCTACGTTTAACTTTAGCAGTAGCTTCAGCGAAACTGTAAATTCGGATCACGAAGTGTGTACACAGCCCAGGTTCATCGGCGACCGGAGCCACACCGTGAAACCATACATCCAGAAACCCCCAAACGCAAAATCCTGAAGCCATGCAAGACGGCAAGGTCCATACGACACTGCTTTTAAGGCTGCGAGCGGGTTGAAAAGGTTTTATACTGTACCTTGACAGAGGGTCATAGTCATGAAGGAAGAGTACCGTACTGTACTTTCTAACTAAACACACCAAACAGCGAATTACATTTGCAGCATTGACGGCCCGATGCTACGCGTTGCGACGGAAACCATTTTGGAATTACGATGGGATATACCCTGCCCACATGCAAACGCATCACTCAAGAGTTCTAGCCCTGCATGTTCCAGGGGCAGGCGAGCATCTGTGCGCAAGAGGCGACGTGGCCGCTGGCCTACATAGGTGTATCGTCACATGTGCGGGGTGCCTTGATTGCTAGGTTTCGTTGTAGCAAGAGCGACTAACATATAGACTAGCATGAACCCATAGACCACAACTAGTTGAAAACGGGCGATTTGCGTTTCCGTGTCGGCTCAGGTAGGTTTAGGGCTGCTTTTTTGGGGGTTCCGGGAATCAACATGTTCAGGATCTGTCCAGGGTTGGCTTCCTTGCTTTAAGGGATTTGGGGCAAGCCCCTCAAACCCAAAAGCTGTAGGCCGTAACCCTGAGACCATAAACTTAGTCGAATGTCTTGTGTTCACTCGAAAGCTCAACCCGACTTCTGCAACGAAAACCTGTACCCGGCCTCATGCGAGTGTCGGCCCGCATTGTACGCTTGCGAATTGAAGTACCTGCGGAGGCTCAATAAGGTTTCGACGTTTAGTTGCTTTGGCTGTTTAGGGATTTTTAAGGCTTGTTGAGGGCTTCGATGCTCACGGTTTAGTGGGTGCATGTGCAGGTTAGAGGAGTAAGCATTTAGGGTTTGAGGCTAAGCGTCTACGGGGTCAAAGCCTCGAGGATTGTAGCTTAATGTTTCCCCTATCGGGCTACCGTTCGAGAACACCTCCTTAGCATGCGAAGGGTTGGTCGAGGAGATGTGGCAGATCACGGTCGAAGCCTATATCATTGAATAACACACTGAACCCTGAAACCTCCTTCCTGAACCCGTAAACCACCCTAAATCCCGAAACATGAAACGCTTAAAGCCCGAAATGCCCCAAAAACAGTAAACTTCTAAAGCCCTTCTGTAACCCTAGATTCCTATCCCTTACAGAATCCTAAAGAACCCATGAGACTCCATGAGAAGGAGGGTGTCCGGAGGCTCTTTATTTCAAGATCCTGTGCATCATTTCAATTTTGTAGTCCGCGCCCAGGGCAGCTAAACACAAGGACTTATTTCGATCTTCCTTAAAGCTAGTACTAGGGGTGCGGTTTTGCAAGGGTTCTGACCATAAAAGGTCCCGGTGTTCGGGCCTTGCTATCCACATGCTATGCTGGGGCCCCTGATGCTTCTCTGCAAGTCGCATATTATTTGGCATAAGGCTTCAAACCCAGGATGCAGGGACTTGTTGGAGGCCTCCAACTCAGGGGCCGCAACCTGATAGTTTTCGGGCTGCTGGCATTCCGATTCCGTGAATCCTCCTTAAGATATGTCGCTCATGCATGGCCGGGTCGGGATTGCCCTTGGATTTCGGACAGCTTTTTCAGGTGTAGGCATGATGCATAGCTGGAGCAACGCCGGTTTTTGGCAGCATGTAGCAAGACATTCCACTGCACATGCAAAGCATATATAACCTAGCGAACCACTGCTGACACAACGGGTATGGCCTCGGATGGTATGCAACTACTTTCACATTAGTAGCACCTTTGTGCGGTCACAGTCTACCCTGTTTTCTCCCAATACCGTCAGCAATGGGAAACCCAACCGAATCAAACTACTTCAGCCGTAACAAGAGCAGCAAGCCTGACACCACAGGGAGGAAGCCCTAAACTTTAAACCCGACGTAAAAACCTAACCCAAACCAGAAGTTACCTAAACATCGCCTGAACTCGGACCTAACCCGAAACTGCCAAAACCACCCTGAGAAAAGAAAAGCCTTTCTGTGGAGGTCTGGCCCTGTCCAGCCGGGCAAGAGCAGGCCGCCTAGGGCGACTTAAGGTTCATAGGGCTTCAGATTCGGCTTGGGCCTCAGGGTTTAAGGATCAGCGCTTTGAGAGGATGCAGGACTTGCGGGAATTATCTTTGAGGTTCAGCATCCAGAATTCAATCAGTGCCTCTAAATTCAAGAGACATGGATATTTACCCTGTCAAACACGTCTTCAATCCTTAAAGACCGTTCCAAGACGCTTACACGAACCTTCGATGCAACGATTACTAAACTCATCTGCGAATGTACGGACTAGGGCTCTGTGCTTGCGTGTCGGACTACCCTGTGAGGTCATCCTCGGGAACCTGGTGAAGATCCCCTTCCCCGTAAAGGAGGAAGGCGTTCAAAATTCATCCTGCAAATTGAAGCTGGTTGGAAGCTCTGTGATCGCATCACAAACAGTCATCTGTTTCCGCACTTTAGCTCCGAGTGGCCTGAGGTTGCGACCCTCAACCCCAAACCCGAAAAAGAAGTCGGACCACACCGAGGGGCGTGGGTCGTAAACTTCGGGGTGCCTTATTTAGGCGTCTTTGTAACAAGGATCCTGATCTTAAGGGTCTGCATGTGTACTAGGACCCCTGTTTTCTGAAACTCCCACGTGTGCTAAGTAGCAAGAGGTCTACATGAGGAATTACAGGTTCCAGCTCCAAAGTCGAAATTTCAAGCTCCCATCTTCCTATGACCGTTGCCTCAGGGTCGCGGGCCACCGTCCGCGCATAGGCCGGGTTCACGACGAGCAGCGGCTTGTACTTCGGTCCGAAGCCTTGGGCGTCGTGTAGCTAGTTTGTAGTCGTCATCGTCGTCGTAGCAGAAGTCAGTAGTACGCAGGTAGTAGTAGGTAAGCTAGTTGTAGGCAGTTACTAGTAAGCAGTTAGTAGTAAGCGGTTAGCAAGTAGCAGTTGGCACTTAGTCGTGAGAAGTTCGTCGTCGTCGTGGTCAGTGTCGTCATTGGTGTAATAGTAGTAGTGATAGTAGTGATAGTAGTAGTAGTAGTAGTAGCAGCAGCAGCAGCAGCAGCAGCAGCAGCAGTAGTACAGCAG